TAAATCCATCATCAGTTTAATGACAGAACTGTTTCCAGATGAGTTTGTCTCTGCAGTTTGTACCTGAGCTTTTATATTACACAGAGCCCAGGTGTCTGAAGACTAGACAAAGGGACAGGAGAGGAGAGACAACGACAGAACAGAGGCTGAATGATAGTAATAATAAACTGTATACGAAGTGAAAACAATATATGAATAAGAATAAAAAGGAAATCAGTATAAATAACAGCTCAGGAGGGGGCCAGTTATGTTCAAAGAGGGAAAGAATGAAGGGGAGAAAGGAGTATGAGAACGAGGTCACATGATGAATGTGGTCACACTGACATTTTACTCTCTCCTACAGGAATGTCTGCTGGTGAATACGATGGTACGTTTCAGCTTTTTTTTTCTTTTTTAAATGATGAGCATACAAAAATACCCCCCCACACACACACACACACACACACACACACCCACACACACACATCCACCCACATACAAAGTAAGTAGACAAATAAATACAGCAAGTTAACAAGTACAATATATTTTAAAATATAAAAAAATAAATAATTGAAAGGACAAGAAAAAGAAATAGAGAATTAAGTTCAAGAGAGACTATCCTAGTTCTCAGGGTCCATCAGAGCAGGACATTTGATATACAGACACTGTTATCCTATAATCATTTGCACTCAAGGTTCTCATGGAACTTTAGCTCCCCTGCTACATATCTCAGAAAAGGTCTCCAGATATTACAGGATTTACCTGGTGAGCCTCATTTTTTAGCCTCATGTAAGATATTCTTGATCCACTGTATGATTTGGAGGAATTACAATTCAGTACAATTAGACGACAGGCAAGCAGCATACAGAGTCAAGAAGCCAAGAAGTCACAGGCTCGTTCAAAGAGTAGACATTATAGGGTCCTCCAAAGAGACCTATAATAGAACAGCAGTCTATAGTGAATTGAAGGACCTCTGAAAGTATATTAAACACAGAAGTACAGTAAATTGCTAGCTTGGAGCAGTTCCAAAAAGTATGAAGACATGAAGATGGGGTCATTTCACAATGGTTGAATGCTGGATCTACATTTCAGCTTTGACTTGTTTGTCCATCGTTCCTCCTTCAGTTTTCAGTAACAGAAACGGATTCACAACTAAACCTTGATTTTCATCATCAAACCTGATGACCTGCCTGCACCTGTGTTTATAGTGACGATGTGCAGATGTGCAGTGAGATTGTCTTGTTTCCTTTTAACTGGATGATGTTTCATCACATTCACAAACTGTAGAAAATGTGTTGATATATTTTAACCAGTGGTCTGAGAAAGATTCCAGATGTTTTGTCAGCAGCTGTATGAAAACATAACAAGGAAGTGAGTACAAGATACTGTCTGGACAAATGTAACACACCTGTCTGCGTCCTCTTGTCCAATCAGAGCACTGCAAGGTGGAGCCTCAGGCAGGTCCCTGCAGGGCAGCGTTTCAGCACTGGTACTACAATAGTCGGACAAGTAACTGTGAGCCATTCATCTACGGAGGCTGCAGAGGAAACAAGAACAACTACATCAGCAAGGAGAACTGCATGGCTACATGTACAGGTAACTAACACACCCGTCTGTACCTGTCTATACCTGTACAGGTAACTAACACACCTATCTATACCTGTCTATACTTGTACAGGTAAGGCACATACACCTGTCTGTAACTGTACAGAGTCAAGAGTTTAGTACTAATTAGAGATGTTGACTCTCTCCTCTGTCAGTGTCGGTCCTGCCATCTTCTAAGAAGTCATCAGCTGATGATGACGAATACAAAGGTGAGAAACTGTTCAATACATTAACATCTGAAGTTCTGACTAGAAGTATATGAATGCATCAGATGGGACAAACTCCAGTTAATGACTAATTAATAATGTCTGTCTCTGTGTCTTTGTATCAATGCGTCTCTGTACCTCTGTCTCAGATAAGTGTATGGCGACCCCTGACCCCGGTCCCTGCCGTGCTGCCTTTCCAAAGTTCTATTACGACCACAACACAGGCACTTGTCAGTCATTCATGTATGGTGGTTGCCGTGGAAATCAGAACAGTTACGGCACTGTGGAGGAGTGTATGAGCCGCTGTAGCAGAGACGGTGAAGAAGAAACTTTCCTAATTTGATTTCCAGTAGCATGTTGACTCTGATGTAACATCTGTGCTGATGTTGTTCTTCTCTTTCAGGCTCCTTGGACAGTCGTGGTAAAACTCGTAACTCAGCTCCAGGTGGGTTTCAGATGAACTGATGTTATCATTTTACACAAAATTGTATCATACAGATGCAGGACTTGCACACGCATGTTTATAGGCTACTAGCTTTCACTTGGGTTTACCTACACATGCTCTCTAGTTTACAGAAGGCATTTATAGCTCACAGCCACCATTTCACCACAAATTAACACATCAGTTAGAGGGGCACTGTTTACCTAAATGAGAACGGGGAAGAGAAGGAATGGCAACTACAGCACAAAATATTTACAGAGGCAGAGCATTTTTATTAAAATGTCAACTAAAATCTATAAAACAGGGGAAGCCTGGCTTCCCTTGGCCTCCCGGAGAAAAGCCCCTGTGTGAAGTTCTTCTTTCCTGCTGATCTGTGAGCAGTAGTCAGATTACTCTGACATTATTTGTCATTTTATCATCATTAAAATCTGTCCTCAGATCAGATTGGGTTAGGATTAGTCTAAAGTACTTGTACAGGATTCCAGTCAGTGTGTATTTGCACCTTTTAATATTATTGAAATAAAACTTATGAACATTGTTGAGGCGGTTACCTCAGGTAACCCAGGTAACTGCTGATAGCATTTCCTTACTATAAAACAAAAGACCGATCTTTCACATTATGTTACAATTACAGTCATTCACTGATTAATTCTCAGCTCAGATTATATGAAGAAAACAGTGTCCCTGACTTGACTCAGACTGATTCTGGTTCATTTTGTTTCAGACAGGCTTTTCACAATAAGTGCCTCCTGTATGAAACAGCCCTCTGACCTTCATCTTTTCTCCTCCAGCCCTTTTCCTCCTCATCACCCTTGCGGCCATCTCAGCTCTGCTCCTGGTGACGCTCGTCTTCATCTCGCTGAGACGTCACCGTCTGTCCCGCCGTCCGTCTTCCATCAGGTAAGGTTAACCTGTTGGTGTGTAACACCTGCCTCAGACCTGATACCTGCTGGTAAAGCATATCAGTAATAAACGACATGAAACATCTGGCAGGACTGTGTGGCCTCCACTCTCTCTGTGTGGGTCTATTCAGCTGTACTGAGACAGCAACACTGATATTTTCTATAAAGTGTTTCTTGTATTTGTTTCTTCAGTGATAAGGAGGAGCTCCTTCCAGATCCAGATGAGCAGTCTTCTGTGGAGTCTCTGACTGTCCCAGAGAGTCCCAGACCTGACAAGGCCTGAGGAGAGACCCTGGATTCACCTGGGCGGGCAGAGGGTCTGGAGACAGTTATATATATATATATATATATAGGACTAAATGTCACAGTAAATTGAATATCTTTGGATAAACCAATAACATGAAGGTGTAACTCTGATTATCATGATTGTAGTTTGACATTTTATTATATTTTATGAATGAAACAATTAAATATTTTATCAAACTGCCTCTTAATAAAATCCTAAATGTGTAAAGAAAGGGGGAAGATTTTAGCAACACAACTAAGTTACAAGAAACACTGGAGCCGAAGTTTCCCATACTGCACCTGGAGAGTGCCAGATGTGACAGGAAGTGTTTTTACTTTTATTTTATTCAGCCTATGGGATGAAATATGAAACAAACAGGACAAACCTTTTTGGATTTGAACTGAAAGGTGGAGTTAAAACTTTTTTAACAGCTGATACGTGTAAAGAATGTCAGAGAAAGAAAGTGACTGTTGTATTTCTGTTTTACAGACCTAAAAATGATTAAATGTTCACATAATGAAGCGGTTTTTAAAATGTCTATCCAGTTTGACTTTGAGTGTAATGTGATTCATTAATAATACAATGTGTAATGCTGGTTTTAGATTTGGGCTGTGATTTGTACCCGAGTCTGAGGTTAAACTGTCTCACCTGTTGAGTGTACTCACATTTATCAAATAAAACTCTTCTATCTCTAATGGTTTTAACGTGCATCAGTCATATAGCAGCTGAGACAGTCAGTCTCAGGTGTTTGTACCTGCAGCTCAGCCTGAGCCTCAGCTACATTAACAGTCTCTGATTGGACGGTCGGTGCGTTACCACTCATCAGCTACTCTATCATAGACCAGTTATCATGTTAATACTCGAATCTTAAATAATCTCAGACTGTACTTAAATAATTATTTTATTACTGATACCGTGATATCTTCAGATATCAATTATCAGAGGCAGAGACTCGTGTTCAGTTGAACTGGCTTTATTGCCTAAAGCTTTGCAGAAACATTACATGCTGGCCAACGTGGGGGAACAACTTCTCATCACTCGTTAGTATCTACGATACCAATAGTACTGGTGCCCCCTATTGGTCCTGAACTACCATAACATACAGTCACTCCGTAAAAGACAACACCAGGTTTAATAAAAGGTCTATTGATAGTTTAATTGTTTACTTAAACGACACTGAGACTGTAAAAGCAAATTGAATAACCAGGAATTTCTGCAAATGTTTTTGATCGCTATTCCAAAATGTCTTGGCTTTGATGAGTACATGTTCCTCCATCATGTTTGGATGCGAGCATTAAACAGGGTTGTTCCATGTAAAGTTAATATATATCACTATAAAAATAAAGTTATTTTTTTTACTCAGCAGAGTCATTAATTAACTGGCTGATGAAACGAATAAAAAATACTTTTAAAAACACACGAGTCTTCGTGTTTAAGCGGTAAAACATCGGAATATAAATACCTGTAAAAATCTGGAATCTCAATAAACTGAAATTGCCATTTAAACAGAACTGAATTACTGGCTTTTATTTAAACCCGACCGTATTTTCGTGCAGCCCTCCCGGAAGTGAGCCGTTGGAGCCAAGATGGCGCTAAGTTGGAGCGAATTAGCGGAAGAAGCTGATGTCGGTTAGCAAGACAAACGGAACCGTTTAACACCGACAGCGCCGAAACAGCAGCACCAAGGTTAACGGAGAGGCGTCTGAGGAAACGAGCCACAACCCGGGATTCCGTTGGTTGGTGTAAGTTTTATTGTTATCTCATTTAAAGCACTGCAGCTAGCCGCTCCGTTAGCATGCTAACATGTCGAGTCACGGGTGTTTGTGTCCCGGGAAACTGTCCGGTAACACCTCACTAGAACCGTGACACAGAGACTCAGCGGAGCAGACACGATGATTCACATGTAACCGAGTTAATTTAGACAGAGTCGAATCAGAAACCACCTTCTTCTTTCAGCCCGTTACCTTGTTAGCCCAGGGTCTTCTGTCTGTGTCGCTGTTTCTTTAGTAGCTAATGCTAACAGATGCTAACACCACTGTAACCGAAGATGTTTTTATTTGCCTCGTGGGTTTACCTGTCCCACATTACCGGGGTTACTCACCTTAATGATCCTGACTTCCGTCAGTCTGAGCAGCGGACTCTCAGTGTCGAGGTTTAAACTTAATATACATGATCATTTACATTGGTAATCTGCTGATAATTAATAGACAATCAGTTGACTGTGCCTGTAGATTACCTGTCTGGTTCTGTCCAACAATCAAACCCTCAGTCACTGTGATTTATGACAAAATAATTCAGAGGCTGGAAACAGACAACCTTCACTTGATGTATTTGAAATGAGTAAAACAATAATTCAGTTGTGCAAACCATTCATTGTGAGTTAGTAAGGATGAGAGCTGGTGGTGTCTCTGCCACTGTATAACAAACTGTTAACTGTGCACCTACAGCCCGGTAAAAATTCTAATCCATTGCTGCTGTTAAAACCTGTGTGTATTTGAGTTTACTGAGTGTTGTTTTCTGTGTATCTACTATTGTTGACTGCTGCCTGTAACACAATTTGCCCCGCTGGGATGTTACAGCTTTTCTGTACTCTACTCTGCTCCGCTGTACTCTACTGTGTATATGGAGCCTCCAAGGTATAGTTCTGTGGCCTTTTCTCACTATATAAAACTGACTTATGATTTTTGTGTAGTTTATCCTTCAGTGCTACAGACGTGCACACTGAAATCACAGGCCTCATTATCTCCTGTTGAATTTGGGTCTGAATGACCCCAGTTTAAAAGATGATTAATATTTTTCAATACCAGGTGAGTTTGTTGCTGTAAGAGAAGGATGATCCAACAGGCCATAAACACTGGAAACATCAGGACAAACTTAAAGACTACAGTGTGATCATAAAAAGAAAAGCTGATATGAAAAGGTGTAGAGTGACTAAAAATGAATAAATCTTCATTCTTTTTTCTCATTACAGAAGCTGAAGCTGAAAAAATATAATTAAACTTATAAACAGCAACTTCCTGCTGCTCTGAACATATTTGCAGACTCTTTTTGTGACTTAATCATCGTTGACAACAACAAAACTGCACTCTGTCCAGTCCAGGTCCACCCAGCTCAGAGTCGGTCTAGTCTACAGTCCTGTAATCAATCCTCCTTCTCACGATTCTCTTTAGACTTTTATAGTTGTTGGTTCACCTGGGCAGTCATTACAGAGGCTGTACTGTCAGCGGTGTTCCTAATATTTTGTCCACCCTAAGTCATATAAGCAGTTTGGATAAAGTATTTTGAGCAGCAGCACAAACTACAACCTTAACACTGGTTTGTGTGTGTGTGTGTGTGTGTGTGTGTGTGTGTGTGTGTGTGTGTGTGTGTGTGTGTGTGTGTGTGTGTGTGTGTGTGTGTGTGTGTGTGTGTGTGTGTGGTGTAAGGTGGTGATGGCGGAGCGGCGGGTGGAGTGTACATGGAAGAGACACATCTCAGAGCAGCTGAAGCTCAGAGACCAAGTGCAGAGACAAGCCTTCGAGGAGATCATCCACCAGTGTGAGTCCATCACATCACACACCCCTCACATGTACTGTCAGATATACTGTCACATGTACAATCAGACTGTCAGACATAAATTAGCAATCATCTCAACAACAGCTCTTCCCAGCTACATGCAGTGCAGTTTGGATTTAGGGATAATCACTCCACAGAAACAGTTACATGTTACTTGATAGAGAAAGTGAAGGTGACAGTGGACACAGGTGGGGTTGTGGAGACTGTTCTTTGATTCACTGTAAGAATTTGATACATTTGTTCATCATAACATCCTACTGTGTAAACAGCTGACATTGTCTTCAAGTCCTTTCTAATTAGGACCAAAGTCATTAACACCTGAAGTGCAGCTGAGTTTTAGGAACATTTCTAGGAAATGAATTAAGAGAGTTACTGGTGTAAAGTGATGAGTCATGCTGGGTGTAGCTGGTCAGACTGGTCACAGCCTGTTAGAAACACAGCTGTAGTCAGGCTCCAGTGTAAACTCTCAATTCAAACAAATTAACAGCTAAGCTCTGTTGGTTTCAGATAACCGTCTGCTGGAGAAGTCAGACCTGCAGACTGTTCTGTCAGAGAGATACCAGACTGACAAATATGACGTCCAGAGAGGACACGAAGCCAGGTGAGACATTCTGAGGCAGAGCTCAAGGTACGGGAGACAGAAGGGACTCCAAAGTGTCCACATGAAGTCAATAATGGACTCACCTCCACCTTGTCTGTCCTATATCACCTGTACTGGGCATAATGGAAGTGATCGGGGGGAAAAAACAACTGAATAATAATTGAACAAATGAGCGGGCTGCAGTCTGTGCTGCAGGTTTCCTGTCAGTGATTTTTAACTGAACTTGGTCTTCGGCTCTCAGCAGGACCAGACAGTGTAAGAGGACTCTACCTGCTGAGAGCGCCGTCTGTTTCTGTATTCACTCTTTCTCCTGTTATCAACTCTGGACAATTGTTGGTGTGGTGGGATGATGAATAAAGAGGTTATATGTTTTATGCACATACATGTGACCTATCTAACTTCTAATCCCCCAGTCTACACACTGGATATTGACGACCATTTTACCTGATGATAGTGATACATTCCTGTATCTACCTACTCTCCTCCAGTCAGTTAGTCTGCATAAAAATGTAAATGTCAAACACGTCTGACATGACAAAAGGGTGGGCACTTCACGTATCATGTCCCCTCACCTGTCCTTGTCCTGTGTTTCAGTTCGGGTGCAGACTCGAATCGCAGCGAAGCTCTGCAGCAGGAAATGGCTCAGATGAGAATTAAACACCAGGAGGAGCTGACAGAGCTGCACAAGAAGAGAGGAGAGGTCAGTCACTTTCAGTCCACACATGAAGACATGTCATTAACACCTGTCCTGAAACAACATGTCATTAACACCTATCCTGAAACATGTCATTAACACCTGTCCCACTGAAACATGTCATTGACACCTGTCCTCCTGGAACATGTGTGTATTGAAACTTGACAGACAGGAGTTCAGTTAACAGTGAATCTTTGCAGCTGAATGTTTTTAAGTGATGTTGATGTGACAGAGGTTTGAGTATCTCTGCTTCCTGCTGTAAACTGTCTCATCAGGTAGACATTGTGCTGCAGGGGGAGTTTAAGTCAGAGCCATCAACTTCAGTTATTCTTAAGTTTAAGTGTAGGGTATTAAGTCAGCTTCATTGATTTTTCACTGATTAATCCATCCGTCTATTCTCTGCTGTTTATCTGAGACCAGGTCATGTTTATTGCTCAATTATATTTCTATGAATTATTGATAAATACAGCTGGGAAGAACTGTCCTGTTAACGTCAGTAAATTCATGTATTTAGATAATTGTCCCAACAGGTTATTAAATCATTGCATGTGGTTTCAAAGTCCACAGAAACACTCAGTTCACATAAAATCATATATTATAATATACAGTGGCAAGAAAAAGTAAGTGAACCCTTTGGAATTGCTTCCATTTATGTATAATTTTGTCCAAAAGTGTGATCAGGGCCCATATTCACAAAGCATTTTATCTCACCACTAAGAATACTTAGTGTCACGCTAAAAGTTTTTAACTGAGAGTTTTCTCCCAAATCCTCTTCAGTGCTGCTGAGACCAACTTTTAGTAAGAAAAAGCAAAAACTCCTGAGCTAAGAGTTCAACTCTGTTGCTATGGCTGAAGTCAATTTTCATGGATTAGCTCCCTTGCAGGAACCACAGCAATTGTTTGATGAAAGGCTTTCTGTGCCAGTGAAAACGCATGCTCAACATCCCGCAATGATAATAAAAAAAAAGAATACAGAAATAAAATAATACAAATGAAATAATAACGGATTCGGTGCCGTTTACAAAAGTAGTGCATTCTCCAAAATACATCTGTTTAATAAGGTTTGTGTCCACCCTGGAGAATTTAATTCTACTATGAAAACATTCAATTCTCTCCAAAAAAAAACCTGTCCTAGATGACCTAACCCAACCTAAGTGGCAGCCCATTGGCCACAGTCTGTTGTAGCGTAGTGTTGTAATGTCCCTGTGGTCCCGGCTGTGGGTTGAGGTGTGAGAAGATTTCCCCTGGTGTCCCATCAGGCAAAATCCAGCTGGAATATGATCCTTTCAAACAGCTGATCAGGTCACTCTCCACTCAGATCCATGACTCGTGTGTAGATCCTGGACACTGTACAACAATGTCTACAACTGTACAGGCAGCATCAATACAACCTGTGTGTTGATGGTGAGATTTTGTTTTCCTGTTTCGTATGAAATATCCTATAATGTCAGGGTCAGAGCACATTTATTGTTTGAATAGATCTGCTTTTCTCTGTTTCCAACCACTGCAGCGTTGACAAACACTTAATTTCCACACTAATCGGTTTTCGGTTGGTAGGAGATGTTATTGCATCTGTAACTAACTTCACAACGACCATCATTCTCTTGTGATTGAGTCGGTATCTTTTAAATAATTCAGCATCGTTTCCTTTTTACGATCCTTTGTGATTTGGTCTTAGTGAGTTAGGAGTCCTCTCCACTACTTCTAACTTCTCCCAGACTTAGGTGCTACTTTTAGCGCTAAGTGGCTTTGTGAATAGTTCTTAGTAAAAAAAAAAAAAAAAAGTTAGGACTATCTTGTCCTAAAGTTAGGACTGAGGCGCCCATTTTTTTTTTATTATTATATTTTCTCCTAAATCGGCAAGTTAGGAGCTACTTTTAGCCCAAAGATGCTTTGTGAATACGGGCCCTGATCTTCATCCAAGTTAAAATTATCAATCATTTAAAAGAAGTCATTGTTTTGTCCTTGTCCAGAAGTCATTCAAATCTAAATCATTTAAACTACCACATTGTAGCTGGAAAAAGTATGTGAACTCTTGACTGATGGCATCAACAGAAGCTAAGTGGAGTCAGGAGTTATCAAACCTGGAGTCCAGTCAATGAAACAAGATTGGAGGTGTGGGTTAGAGACTTTGGCTCATAAAAAACTCTCAAACATTTTGAGTTTGCTGTTCACAACAAGCATCAGATGACGTGAACCAGGCCTCAAAAAAGATCTCAGAAAACTTGGGATCAAGAATTGTTGATCAGCATGAAGCTGAAAGGGTCACAGAGTCATCTCAAAGAGTTTAGATCTTCATCAGTCCACAGTCACACTGTCTATAGATGAAGATGATTTAGTTCTGTGGCTACTCTGTCTAGAAGTGGACGTCCACCTGAGATGACTCCAAAGGCAGAACACAGTAGCTCTGTAAGGTTAACAAAGGAGCTCAGAGTCACAGCTGAAGGCAGCTGGTTCACATCTCTGTTCATGAGTCCACCACACACACATCATGGTGCATGGTTGTTATGCCCCTGAATTTATAAAGAGCAGCTTTACACTCCACTGTGCTACTGGGGAAATGTGTTATGGACTGATGACACCAAGGTTGACTTGTTTGGGGAAAAAACATGCACCATGTGTGTGGTGTAGAAAACCACTGCATACTAACATCCCATCATCATCCCAGAGGTGAAGCAGGTGGAGGGAGCGTCATGATTTGGGGCTAATTTTCTGCCTCTGGACCTGGACAGCTCCACATCAGAGAGGAAAATGAATTCTCAAGTTCATCAAGGATAATGTCAGGGTGACTGTCCAGCTGCTGAAGCTCAGGAGAAGCTGGGTGACGCTACAGGACAATGACCCTAAACATCAAAGTAAATCTACTACAGAATGGCTTCAAAGAAATTCCACCTTCTGGATTGGTCCAGTCAGAGCCCACACCTTAATCTAGCAGAGATGCTGTGCAATGAGCTGAAGAGAAACGTGCAAAGCAGACATCCTAAGAATCTGTCTGGACTGAAGCAGTTCTTTAAGGAAGAATGATCCAATCTCCCCTTGAACATTGAGCAGGTCTGATCAGCAGCTACTGGAAGCTCTTGTTGGAGGTTATTGGTGCCAAATGAGGGTCAACCAGTTATTAAATCCAAGGGTTCACTTACTTTCTCCACCAGCACTGTGAACGTTTAATGGCCGTGTTCACTAAAGACACAAAAGATTATAATTTAGGGACACTGTGTTTGTCTACATTTTGACTCAGTTGATGCAGAAAACCAGTTCTTTCCAAAGGGTTCACATACTTTTTCTTGCCACTGTATAATGTTTGAATGACTTTGGGAATTAAACCTCCTCAGTGATTGTTATTTTTTGAGAACTTTCTGGTCAGTCCAACAAACACCTACGTCCTCAGGAGAAACTAATTTCCTGACTGACACATGAGGTTTTGTTTTGGAATAAAATCCAAGATAATGGTCGTTGCACATTTTATGAAATTAATTTAATTAGTTAAATGTAAATTTGTGGGAGCATCAGAAAATTGTTTGAGTCCAGGGCGGAGAAAATTTTATAGGTAGCTTGCTAACACTGAGCTACATTGCAGAGAAATACAAAATCTTAATAATGAGCCTTTTAAAAATACACATTTTATAAGCTCGTGCTCAAAGTGACACCAGTAGAAGTAACATATAGTAAGTGAAGTAATTTATCTTCCTCAGTTCACCTTAACACTTAGCCCAGATAAATGTGTGTTATCGGATTATATAACATGAGGGCGAGCGGCCACAATAAACACTCAGATTTCAAATGAAAGTCACGTCTGTAGCCTCTCAGTGATCCACACTCTGGATTCCCTACATAACCATCTAATATCCACAGAGACCAGTTGTGTAAACAATGTCTGTGACTCAGTGTTGCCACTTCCTGTGCAGTTTGAGCTATTTATTTATTGTTTGCAATCAACCAACCAATCAAAACTTGTTTGACTAAAACTCAGAATATCAGCTACTGTGTGGTTGATTGTTAGGCAGCAGCTTATTATTTGTTTTCACAATAAATGTCATCAGAGTATTTTTACTTCTGTTGTTTTACACATTTCTAATCTGCAGAAGGTGGTGAAGAAGTTTCAGGTCATGGAAATGCTGGGTCATGGTCCTGGAAAGTCCTGGAAACATGTAAATCACTGACTGTTTTTGTCCCGCAGCTGGCTCAGAGTGTGATCGAACTGAACAACCAGATTCAACAGAAAGACAAAGAGATCCAGAGCAACGAGGCCAAGTCAGTGTCTATAAACACACACTCTATTTGTACGTGTGTATGTGTGACACCTGAGAAGAGGTCAGTTCACCTGCAGCAGGTGTCCTCGCTTAGGAACCTGAATAAAGTTTATTGTTGTGTGTTTTCAGAATGTTGGAGTATCAGCAGCAGATCACCAACCTGGAGGGAGACTGTCGGGAGCTGAGGAACTACCTGCAGGTAGGAATATATCACCTGGACAAATCGCATGCCTCAGGGATTCTTAAGTTGAAAACAGGAGGCATCCACTTGTCAGGCGGCTGCTCAAAGCATTTTGGGAAATGCAGGAATACAGTTTTACTTTAATGAAAGTAACTGAAGTAGATGGAGTTGGCAGGTGGAGGGTCAGTCAGCTCACCTGATCTGGAATCTGTTCAGACTCAGGATCAGATCCAGTTCAGACTTAGGATCACATCCAGTTTTCTCACAGGAGTGTAGGCGCACCCCAAGGGCATCATGTTTCCTCTTCATGTTTCCTCTTCACTGAGGAGTGGTGGCCAGTGTACTCTTTTATGCTGCAGTCTGCTGGGGCAGCAGCATGTCTGACATGAACACAAAGAGACTGGACAAGCTGGTAAAAAAGGCTGGGTCTGTGCTTGGCAGGAGTCTGGACTCACTCATGACTGTTGTGGAGAGACGCATGCAATGTAAGATGGAGGCCATCTTAGACAATACCAACCATCCTCTCCACAACATTCTGGCAGGACAGAGAAGCAGCTGCAGCAAACGTCTCATCTCACTGTGCTGCAGAACAGAGAGGTTCATCGATCGATCGATCTATCGATGCCTTCCACTTAGTTCCATGTGCCTTGCAGAACAATGACATCACACTTTTGCGAGAGGCAGTCAGCGCGAACAACAACGAAGGAGTCGAGGAATTGTGGCTTAATTTCACACAAAATGACGCTAACAGCAAAACGTGCAGTGTCTGTGGCACTAAGATTTCAAGCAATGGTGTAAACACCAGCAACATGCTGAAACATTTGTTGACATATTACGGCATTAAATATCAGGAGTGCCATGTGTTTGACGCTCTACGCTGCCGGTCAGCAGAGCAGTGAAGGTACGTATTAGTGATGTGTTGACTTTTAAGTGAACAATGGGAGCCGGCTCCTGTCCGAGAGACTTTTTTTAGTAAATGAATACAAGGCAGACAGCACTCCCTCCTCGAGGGATTGAACAACTACAGAGCAGTTATCTATCTTGTTCAGTGTTCAGAGACTCATAATAAAATATGCGTTAAGCTCATTGATGAAGATGATGGTCAAGGAATTTGATAAAGGTCAATGATGAACAGTAAAAGGTCTGATTTCCCACAATCCTCTCCTGCTGCCTTCTGGCTCCCAGCAGCCCCTGCTCTCTCCTCCCATCATGCTCTAGTTGTGCAGTGGTGGTCTCAGGAGCTGCTGACAGACAGGAAGTGCCATCACAGTGTGAGTCTGTAAAGAGATCCAATAGGCTCAGTGTGATGGCTGACATCCAACAGAACCAATCAGCACGGAGCGTCAGGCTGAGGAGGAGGAGGGAGCTGATCTCAAGTTTTCAACCTGAGACCTTCATCTGATCAGAACATGAACATGAAGTCAGTTTAGACCAGTCCAGACCACTTCAGACCATCAGGTGTTGACAGTACAGTGACAGTACATATATCATGGTAAAGTGTATAATGATCTGACTGAACCTTAGTATGTGCGTTCTGTCACTCCCAGTCAGGTTTATGTTCTTCAGGAACCCAGAGTTGTGTCCATCTTCCTGTGTCCTGCAGGACCTGGAGAGGGCAAACCAGACGCTAAAGGATGAGTATGATGCCCTGCAGATCACTTTCTCTGCTCTGGAGGAGAAACTGAGGAAAACAACAGAGGACAACCAGGAGCTGGTGTCTCGATGGATGGCAGAGAAAGCTCAGGAGGCCAACAGGCTGAACGCTGAGAACGAGAAGGACAGCAGGTAGAGTGAACACCTGAAGGAGGAGGAGGTGTCTACCCCCCTGACTGATCTCACTCCTCTGACTGATCTATCTGATTTCAGACGCAGACAGGCCAAGTTGCAGAAGGAGCTGGCTGATGCTGCCAAAGAGCCTCTGCCCATTGACCCGTCAGTAGATTCAACCTCCGGCTTGTGTTTGTATCATGTCTGAGGTGAGTCGGTTCTGACCAGGTGTTTCTCTCCTCAGGGACGACGACATCGAGGTTCTGGCTGAGGATGGAGGGAAGGGGGGAGGAGAGACCTCACCAAACAGACCACTCAGCAGAACTCCCAGGTGAGACCAGTACCTGTTCTGTTTCACTGCTGCGTTTTTCTTCACTGATCTAGAAATGTTTTAATTTTTCAGACTCACTTTTCTTTTTCATTTGACCCATTGAATGTCCTTCAGACAGTGAAACTATCAACACATCACCAGAGTTTTTTGGCTGAACAGCAACAGTCCTGTAGACGAGACCATCACACCACTGGTCGACTGAGTGTTTTGCTGAGTTTTACTATTGGCCATTGGTCTGTTTAAAAAAAAAAAAAACAAAAAAAAAAATTGGGCACATACAGTTGCTGTTATGTCATCAAGGGGCATTTACAGACTGCACTGTTGACAACTGGTTACTTTGTCTCTACATTAACTGACTCTTCAGCCACCTTCAGTTGTCGTTATTAAAGCCATTAAAACACCTGGTGACAAATCTAGAGACAAACGTCAGCTTCTTTCTGTTGTCAGTACTGACCCTTGAGGTCAGGTTTTCCCTCTACAGACTCACCTCTCCATGATGAACACAGCGGCCGAGCCGGCTGACCAGCTGATGCTACAATCTGTTGTCTCAGGTTGTCTCTGACAGTGACTAAATGTCTTTGGGTTTTGGACAGACGACGGAGACATTTACAGACATCAGTGGACTTGGACACTGACCAAGTTTACTTTACTTTTCTGTTTCTGCAGTAAGAAAATCTCCCAGCCTCCTCCTGGTGGTCTGCTCGACTCCATTTCCAACATATTTGGGTATGTAGCTATAAAGTCATCTGGTCTCTGTCTCTGTCTTGGTCTCTGGGGGGGTCTGGACTGTCCATGTTGTGATTGACCGCCTGTCTATCTTCCTGTCTGTCTGTCTGTGTCTGTCTGCAGAGTGTCTGAGTGTGTTCAGCCTGGACTCCTCCCACCACACTCCAGGTGAAGGACTGTGTGTGTTCACCTGTGTGTTCACCTGTTCACACTGCCAGTTTTTGATTTACAGGTCACTGACTGTGGGTGCAGCCATTTTTTTTTCTCCAAGTCCATATCAACACAATGCTCACATGTGCTTGTGTGTGTGTGTGTGTGTGTGTGTGTGTGTGTGTGTGTGTGTGTGTGTGTGTGAGAGAGAGAGATTGAGTCCGGCTGGTTTTGGACCCTCGAGTTACACTAGAAAGGGTCAGTTTGGACATGCGAGTGTTGTATTCAGACAGACTGGGAAAATGTTTAAGGACATTAGTTTTACACAGCTCTGGTCTTTGGTAGTTGTGTCCATCAGTGAGACATCCTATTTTCCTTGAACTCATCAACAGTGATGGTTCATTAAAGCAGTCCCACTTTCTAGCTGCATCACGGGCCTCTGAATGTGTCTGCATTCTGTTCTGGTTGTAAAGTCCAGTGTTAATCCTTCAGTAAGCTCTCCTGTGATTGGCGGACAGCACAGGGAACAGTTCACCTTGTTAACCATGTGACCCGTGTCAGACATTCAGCTCTGAATAGAACATCTGCTGACCGTTCATCATTCTGCTGGCAGTGTGAACACAGTGACGTTTGTAGTGAAGTGATTGTTCTTGGCAATAATCCCAAGACTAAATCAATAACCAGTTTTTAAGAGGCTGTAGTTTGGTGTTGTTGTTCCTGCTTTTGTTCTGATTTAACCCCCGTAACAACATGATGTAATTTTCATGGTCCTGTTGATCCTCACAGACCACATCTGGGCCCTCACAGGCCACAGCTGGACCGTCACGATCTGGGCCCTCGAGGTCCACAGCTCTAGCCCTGTAGGCAGACGTCTGTGCAGCAGCCACTGACTTTACTTGACTTTGACTGAATTTAAAAGTATCACAGCTGAAGAACCAGGTATTTTTCTCAGCTCAGGTGTTTACAGACCAAACAGTTACTGCAGGTTTAGGAGTTATGAGATTCACATTCAGTTCTCTAACAGTGTGAACAAAGATTCACATTGTTCCAATGTTGTGTCTGAACTGAAGTTAGAACCTGTTTGTTTCTTCCTGGGTGAGTTTGACAAACAGAGTATCAGATGTTTGAAAAGTCCATTTCACGGCAGTGATTTGCACCTGAACAGCTCTGTTCACTGATCAGTACTGATAGGTGAACATTTGAGCCTGGGTTTTAACTTGATAAAATCACAGTTTAATCTGGCTCACACAAACTGTGGTGTGCTGATGTTGATTCGTTTAACTAAAAACCAGACTAGATTTTAGATTGTAGATTATGAAGTGCAACACTGTGATCAGCTGATATTGAAGCTCCGACTGTGTTTGTAACCTGAGTTTAAACAAACTGAAGGAGGATTTATCTGGAGCCAGGTGTCATTAGATTCAGGTTTCCTTTGAGACAAACCGTCCTTGAGGACTCAGTGTTGTCAGCTACTGGTAGAGTTCCCCTCAGTCTGGGACCAGGTCTCACTTTAATCATCCGTTCTCACACTGGACTGCACATGGACTGAAAACTGAAGTGGACTGGGGTCAGATCCAAACATCGCTGGTTGTTTATAGTTAGATAGCTGCTGCAGAGCTTCTGATGTGTGCACAGCATGAACCTAGCTGAGTCCAGGTCTTGGTCCATATTAACTGGAGCTTATTGAACATCCTTGCTGGAGAGCTTGTTGAACTTGTCTTGATTTAAACATTAGTGTGTCACACCAACATCAGATGTCACATCATGAACATTCAGTTTGTTAAAGAGGACCTATAATGGCCATTATTATTGTTCATTATTTCATTCTTGGTGTCAACTGAAATAGATTTACATGCTTCAGTGTTTTGAAAAGACAATTGTTCTTCTTCTGTACACTTTTTACTGTACTCTATTCATCCTCTGTATGAAACGCTCTTTCAGAGCTCAGGGCTCTTAAGGCCCCCCTCCCCCCTCTGAAGCTGACCAATTACGGGGCACACACACGGGGCTCTGATTGGTCAGGTCTGGTCAGTAAATCTGAATGAATTAAACTTTAGTGTGCAAAGTTAATGCACAGTTAAAATATGGATAATTTATCCGAGCTAACGAGGTATAACATGTCAATACTGACAAACATTTAAGCATTTTTATCTTTGCTACTGTGCGTGGTTTCGGAAGCAGTCTTCCTTGCAGTGCGGGCTCACACTATAATGTTCGGAGCAGTGGCGAACCGTAGAAAAAATGAAGTAGATTCCTCCAGGCAACTGAGAACACTGTGTCTTTTCAGCATAGCTACAAAACTAAAGAAAACTCTTCATTATAAGTACTTATGTGCCTTGTGTGGGGGCGTGCCAAGCTTGCAGGGGGTGTCCAGCGCGCACATGTGCAGCACCAAGAGAATTATTGATGTCAGTAGGACTATGAAGTAATGTCTGGACCCCGGCGTTTCATACAAAGGAGAAATTTGGGTTTTGCCCTGACAGAGTTTCTCCCTATGGTGTAAACTTTGATCCTTGGGATTCTGTAGACCATTGACATGCAGAAAAACCTATATAACACACTATAAGAAAGGGAAAACTCAGAAAAGCATAATAGGTCCCCTTTAAGAACTGAGGTTGAACCAAGTGAATAATTAACATGGGACTTGTATTGCTGATATTTTTTGTATCATATTGAAAGCATTCACTCATTGAGTGTTTCAGCAGATTGGTTAGTGTAGGTGGTAAACTGTCAAACACATCTGGATATTACATGACATGCTTCTGACAGACATATTTCTTTACATCTGTAGTTACATCTAATCTTTCTCACAAGATGAAGATTTGTTTACCTCCTGAAGAGAAAAGGGAAAACAAGTTTTCTGCTGTGACCTGAGTTGAATGTGTTGTGACCAATGTAGATACTGAGAGTCTGCTCACTGCTCTGCTGCTCCGCTCATTTTCCTGAAGCTTAAAGTGTAATAATGTTGGTGTTAACTGATACGTCAACAGTAGGTCTGTGACACATCAAGTCAGTCTGTGATACGTCAACAGTCAGAGCATGTGACACACACATGTATTGATGTATGCAGTTTATAATCACACCAGTCCTCTTCAGAGCTGCAGTCATCATTCAGCTCCTACAGATGTTATGGCTGATGTTACCTCCAGATGTCAGAGGCCAGCTCAGTGACCTCTGACATCATGGTCTGTCAGTGACTGTCGGTGACTGTGGTCTCTCTCCCAGCAGGCGTCGAACCGCCAACTCTTTCAGCACTTCACCTGAAAACACAGAGGCCCCGTCAGGAGGGTGTGCAGAGGTTCGAGTCCCGTCCACAGCTCTGCACGTGTTTGTAAGTACCTCAGCTTCTTCACCAGTGGAACAGACATGATGGTTTGACTGGGAGAACAGTTCAGAACGATCAGCTGGGAAACACATGACCTCTGGACTGGTGTACTGATCCCTGATAACAGAAACAGATTTGTTTTCTGATCAGTATTACTGTGCTGTCAGTGGTTTCATGAATCTCCTTCAACACACATGGACTCCACCCACACACAACCTCCACCCACACACAACTTACACCCACACACAACCTCACACTAAAGCTGTAGTCTCATGGAACAGAAACAGCAGAAACGGTAGGGTGCGCTGTTTAGTTCCTGCTGCTGATGGTTGTTAAACTGTGAAAGGTCTGTTCAGTGACGTGCTGTTTCCCAGCTATTAGAACAGGGACTGAACTCAGGTCAAAGGTCAGTGATGAACAGTAAAAGGTCTGATTTCCCACAATCCTCTCCTGCTGCCCCCTGGCTCCCAGCAGCCCCTTCACTCTTTCTGTTCCCATCATGCTCTAGTGGTGCAGTGGTGGTCCTAGAAGCTGCTGACAGACAGGAAGTCACATCACAGTGTCTATACATAGATCCTATAGGCTCAGTGTGATGGCTGACATCCAACAGAACCAATCAGCACGGAGCGTCAGGCTGAGGAGGAGGAGGGAGCTGATCTCAAGTTTTCAACCTGAGACCAAGAGAAACTCTTCACTGCGATGTTTTAATACCACCTCAGTGTTAAACTCTGTGTGTGTGTGTGTGTGTGTGTGTGTGTGTGTGTGTGTGTGTGTGTGTGTGTGTGTGTGTGTGTGTGTGCGCGCGTGCGTGTTCTCGTTCAGGAAGCCCATGACGGTGAAGTGAATGCAGTGAGGTTCAGCCCTGGCTCTCGTCTCCTGGCTACAGGAGGGATGGACCGCAGGGTGAAGCTGTGGGAGGTTGTTGCAGGTAAAGTCTCCATGACAACAGCGAGCTGTGTTCACACATCGGAAAGTTTTCTTTAGAAAATCACAGCACATGAAACTGACTCATATAGACTATGTCTCATGAATGTGAGGTCAGGTGGCCTACACCTGTAAAACACAGTGTAACGTAATCCAGGGACGTCCTTAATGAGACTGTTTCTATCAGTCACTGTTGTATGAGACTGACTCAGTTTGAAATGGGTGGACCCTGTCAACTGGAGTGGCCTCAGTGCAGCAGTGTGGGTTTTTTAGAGCTCACTGGGTCTCAACACTGGTCTGAGGATTTGATCTGATTCAGTTATATCAAAATTTATCCTGGAACTTAAATTTCTTCAACATTCTTCAACATTCAACCTGTGAGAAACTGTGTAAAGTCACACGATCAGCTGAACTGTAACCTCCTCACCTCCTGGTTTTAAAACTTTGTCATGTTGTTACCAAGGATTTCATTTTCCATGTCAACAACATGACACATGGACTCTTTCTTTTAAAACGACATGTGTAAACCTGCACCACTCACAAAGGCATCATCATTATCCATTTAAAAAATAAATAAATAAATGCAGTGTATATAGTAAATGTACATTCAGAACATATCAACATTTAAATCCTGCAGCATTGACACAAATCTACATTTCTAGGGTCTGTGTCTTTACATTTGTGCAGAGATTTTCTCCTGGTTCAGGACTATGTTAATAAACATGATGTAACTGGTACAGACAGCCTGTGTCTCAGGTTGTCCTTATACCTCTGAGCAACACTTTGACCTCTGACTATTTTTCTGTGTGTGTGTGTGTGTATAGGTCACTGTGAGCCTAAAGGAGCTCTGACCGGCAGTAACGCAGGAATCACCAGCATTGAGTTCGACAGCGCTGTGAGTCTGCAGCTGCACTTCAAATGGTTTTACTGTTTATTTGTGTTGTTGTGTGTAGGATGTGTTTATTGTATCATTGTGTCTGTTTTAACACTCCGACCTGTTGCTTTATTATGTTTTTGTACCTATGTCTTCAGGGTTCGTACCTGCTTGCTGCCTCTAATGACTTTGCCAGTCGGATCTGGACTGTGGACGACTACAGACTGAGGGTGAGTGTGAACACCTGACTGCTGACCTTTTACTACATTCACATGTCCAGGTAGAGCGCCACGTGTATGAGCTTGTGGTCAGATCATCATAACAGGACGTCTTCACTCAACATAAACATGAAGCAGGGTTGCTCTCAGAGTGGTCAGCCACTACAACACTGTGGCGTGGCTACAACTAAACTGGTGACGATGGAGGAGGTCACTACACACTGGTCAGACCACAGCACCTTCCCCCACTGTGGTAGTGGTTTATTTGTGCTTCTGCTGATCTCATAGTCACAGGATCAACAGGACACAGCATTAATGTCTGTGGACATGCACATCGGAGTGTCATCATGTGTACACACCACAAAATAAAAAGATGTAAATCGAGAAACGAAAAACAGCCATCTCATTAAGACTCATTACTTTTAATCCAGAACAAGTGAGAACCAAAAATAACACGTGAAGGGTAAAGTTTGTAGAAGTTTTCTAAAACCTTTTTCAATAAAAAATATTTCAGATCAGATTAATCATTGATGCCCCTGAAGTGAAGTCCCCTGATCAGAGAGGAGGGAAAAGACTAAGATCAATAATAAACAAGACACCCGAACTTTTCCATAGTCTGCTGTTGATCAGAAAGTGTGTGTGTGTGTGTGTGTGTGTGTGTGTGTGTGTGTGGGGTCGTGCAACCAGCGACCATCTGCTGGTCAGTGATGTGATGTAAAAGGTCTGAATCTCAGCTCCTCCCCCTTAGTAACCAGCCGCTGCTCTCTGCCCCCATCATGCTCTAGTGGTGCAAAGGTGGTCACAGCAGCTGCTGACAGAGACAAGACGTCATGTCATAGCGAGTCTATACAAAGATCCAATAGGCTCAGCGTGACTGACATCCAACAGAAACAATCAGCACGGAGTGTCAGGCTGATGGGGTGGGGTTCGAGAGATGATCTCACTCTGCTACTGAGACCAGAGAAAGTGACTGAATGTAAACATTGTCGGACAGAAACCAGCATCAAGTTTTTACATGTTTTCACAAAAGTAACACACCTGTCCTCACACAAAAAACAGATATATCTATATAAAAAAATGAGGTGAGTAAGACACTAAACTTGTGCTTTAAACTCTGATGATAAAAACATCAGAACATCTCCTGATTTCATCTGTTGGTTTTCTAATAATAATTGACCAGATTACTGGATCAGGAATTTATCAGGAGGCAGAACAATTTAAAATATAAACACAGCTCAATATGATACATGGGTTTATGATGACATCATGTGAATATCAACAGGCAGTATAGGAAGAATACTGGTTTCAGAACAAGTACAGAGAGTGTTTGGTGACCTAACCTTAATCAGTAATTCTGATGGCAAAGTGGGAGAGAGATCAGTGAACCAACATAGATGATTGGGAGAGATCAATACATTTAATTTACCTGCTAGTCAATAGTTGTAACTAGTTTCAGTCTGTGGTTGTCTTTTACTAACGGTCTCGATATTATTGTTGCATGCAGTGACCTGTGACCTCACTGATTTCCTCTGTTTAGACTTGGGGCTTTTATTTTGGAGGCAGGAAGAATTACCTCATGTTCTCTACAGATGGTATCCCAGTGTCACAATCGTGTGTGTGTGTGTGTGTGTGTGTGTGTGTGTGTGTGTGTGTGTGTGTGTGTGTGTGTGTGTGTGTGTGTGTGTGTGTGTCTCCCCTACAGCACACTCTGACAGGTCACAGTGGGAAGGTGCTGTCGGCTCGTTTCCTATTGGACAATGCTCGAATCGTCTCTGGGAGCTATGACAGAACGCTCAAACTGTGGGACCTCCGCAGCAAAGTCTGTACGTGATTGGTTGGTTTGTGCGATGTTTTTTACTGGTTTCTATGGATCCAGTCTGACAGAGCTGACTCTAAGCCTCTGTCAATGACTGTGCAGCAGAGATGGTCTGAGTGACCTCACTTACTGTTGACTGCTCAGTCACCTACTGTGTCACCTGTGCAGGTATGAAGACGGTTTTCGCTGGTTCCAGCTGTAACGACATCGTCTGTACGGAGCAGTGCGTCATGAGTGGACACTTTGATAAGAAAGTTCGATTCTGGGACATCAGGTAAGAGTTTCTACGGACTGCTGACGAGAGAGGAGAATTACATTGACAGTTTAAATTCAGCCGAAACAACAGGAAACAACTTCTTTACTGTGTATACTAATACACTGAGGGTCCACTTGACTTCTCCATAGCTTTCAACTGATTGTCTTCAGTGGTGAGAATCGGGTTTGCTCATGTGAAATATGAAAATTTAGACACATGACAATAATTTTCTGAGATGATGAATTTTAGATTTCATTCTGTCATTAATGTTAATGGTTTGGATTTAGTAAATATTAATTTTTCATAAATATCAAATAACAAATAATTAAATAACTATACATATTGATATTTAATAAATATTTCATAGTAAAATATATGTGGAAAATATAAACGTTGGTAATGATAAAATCTCTTGTCATCGTTTGCAGGCACATGTGGAACGTCTGTGCTGACCTTTGACCCTGTACTGACACAGATCCTCTCAGTACTGACGGTGTGGTTCTGTCTCTCTCCTGTGTGTTGTGTCATTGTGTCATGTTGTGGGTCAGAGCGGAGAGCATAGTGCGGGAGCTGGAGCTGCTGGGCAGAGTGACGTCTCTGGACCTGAACCACGACCGAACCGAGCTGCTCACCTGTTCCAGAGACGACCTGATCAAGATCATTGACCTGCGCACCAACTCTATCAGACAGACATTTAGGTGTGTTCGTCCTGACCTGTCAGCCGTTCAGGTGTGTTCGTCCTGATTTGTCATGTTCCAGCAAGTGGATCCTCTCAGATCACACCTGCCCATGTGTCCTCCTCCTGCAGGGAAACATTCAGTCTGAGACCTTGATATAAGAGAGTGATGGTCAGCCTATTTAACGAGCCAATGAGGTGTGGTTCAGGTGTACTAACTGTGTGTTTGTGTGTTCAGTGCTCAGGGCTTCAAGTGTGGAGCTGACTGGACCAGAGTGACCTTCAGGTGGGTTCAACACTCAACACTGAACACTGAGACACTTAAACTGTCTACCTTTTTAAATGCTGACTGTGGAGTCTGGAACTGAACTCAAGTGACACGTCACTGACCTCTGTTTGCTTTCAGCCCGGACGGCTGCTACTTGGCTGGAGGATCAGCTGATGGAGCTCTGTATATCTGGAACGTCCTGACGGGGAAAGTGGACAAAACTCTTGACCGGAACCACAAGTAAGAAAAAAACTAATTCCAGAACAGTCTGCTATTACCACACAGAACACAACAGGGAGTCACAGAGGGAATGAATGAGTTCACATGGTAAGAAATGTAAATAATAGAGACCTGCTCTATATTTTCTTGAGGTTCAGGAAACTCAACATAAAGGACGAGAACAGTTTGTGAGCTCTGACCTCTGTACACATCTCATTCTAAAACAGCTGTTTGATTTCACTTCTGTCAGTAGACTAAAGAATCAGCAGGTTGTCTTTTAAACTGATGATGTGATAGTTCTTTACTGAAGGGGTACAGTCCTATCCATCCATCCATCCTCGGCTGTAGATCTGTTCAGTTCTGTTTATGTTTAAACCTGAGAGAATTCAGCCCTGATCTGCCCCCAGTGTTTAATCCTCCAGGTGCTCACAGGTAAGTATATGAACCGTGATGCTTGTACAGTGTATCGGTGCTTAATGATGGTGTCTGTTTAAACTAAACTTAAAGGCTGGAAATGAAACAAATGTTGAATCTGTCCTCTTCTGTCTGCAGCTCTGCCATCAACTCAGTGTCCTGGTCCCCTTCAGGAGCCTACGTGGCCAGTGTGGAGAAGGGCAGCAAGGCCATCCTGTGGTCCGACATGTGATTGGCTGAACTGTGTTCCAGCTGGACACCAATGGAGACAGAGACTCTGTCCAGTGAGAGGATGGTTTATCAGCAGCTGGATGATGAAATGTTTGGAGCTTGCAGCTGTGGACAGATGTGTCAGTCAGAAGAAATGAGACGCTGAGAGCTGCTGCTCTCTTGTCTGCCTTCATGTTGAACATAAAAACGGCTTGAATCACATGTTTACCTGTTCTCTATTTGGGTTCAGACATTTTAAGGTTCTTCAGTGTTTTACTTCTCTGACAGTGAGAAACAAACTGCCCTTACACAGTTTACTGAGACACAAACGTCAACCTGCTGATGTGAAAGAGGATTTAAATAAAGTCTTCTGTAACAGCTGATGGTGAGCAGGACGTCTGCAGTTAAAACACAAAGGAAAACATTTCACCTGACCCATCCTCACCAGTGTGTGTGTGTGTGTCTGTGTGTTTGATGCAGAAAAACACTAACCTGTCCAGCAGGTGTCAGACATCTTCAGCTGCTGGAGCTCAGTGACAGAGGAGTGTGTTCATTCAGCAGGTACAGAGTTTAATTCATGTCCTGCAGCACTTTGATGAAGAAAACCACTGAGATGTTCAGAGTAGAAAAGGTGAAAATAAAGACATGTATGTGCTTCACTTGTCCACATTCATTCGGCTCATTGCTTCTACCCCACCCACCCTTATTTGTTTTACATTGTTTAGTTTTAACTGACTTTCCTTTCTTTACCACCTCCTCCAGAGAGACGTCAGAATTGCCCTGAGGTTGAAATGTTTGTCTCAGACACATTAATGAGACCAGACCAGCTTTTATCTGTAGAGATCAGTGAGATTCTGATCAGACCCCCCCACACACACACACCTGCGCTGAGGTGTGTAAACTGCTGATATCAGCAGACAGACTGCTGAGTCTGACTAATGGGAACTTATCAGCTCAGCAGAGACTGTCTTCCTTCTGATCATGTGATAGAACGGTCACATGTCAGAATACCACCAGCAACAACCAGAGAGGAGACGATGGCTGCGGTTGAAAAGTCAAAATAATCTCTCTAACCTCTTCTCCTTGACGGAAAACATGAGGCAAAGGAGAGATGTAAAGGAGAAATTATAAGGACTTAGAAAAGGACAATCATGATGCGAGAATCTGACTGCACTCACACTTTTTTTGACTAACTTTATAACACATGGAAGATAAATCCTCCTTTACTAACCACAAAATAAAGCAAACAGGATTGATATGTTGAAATAAAATGACATGAAAGGAAATTACAAATTGAGAAAGCTGAGATATTAAAATCATTAAATGAAAGTAAGGAACTGAGCAAGTGATCAAAATAAGTTATATTCACATATGTATATGGTTTCCTCACATATGTGCTTTTTACATTTTTAAGCATTTAAGTAGAGAAAATTCCTCTGCTAAAGGAAATATGAAAGGAAGCACTGAAGCTCCTTTACTCAGCTCTTCTACGTCCAGGTCATTTCACTGAGTTAGGAACCTTCCTAAGAAAAAAATACTTGTGTGCAGCCAAAAGTAAGAGTTTAACTGAAGAGAAGATGAGAACTAAAGCATATCACATTTTCACACAAAGGGAATGGGAATGGGATAAAGTGAAAGTAAAGCAGTGGAAGTGATGGAAAGGGTCAGCAGTATCTGCCTTTCAAAACATCTGCCACAAAGAACAGAACAGTTGGTCTTTATATTGTAATCATGATTCCCATGTTTCATTTACTGCTGACAACATGAACAACATGAGTGATGAAATCATGTGACTAAGAGCAACGAGGTCAAAGGACTGCGCTGCAGTAGTGTTAGCTTAGTTTATTTCAGTGGGAAAATGACATTAATTGAAAAGTCAACACTGTAAAGATATGGTTTAGCCTTTTTCATTGGCCCATCGAGCAGATGTCTACATCTGTGGAGAGCTGTAGCTATGAACTGTGTGTCTGTCATGAGCACTGTCGCCTGTAGGGGGCACTGACACAACTGAGGACTGTTAGTTTTCCTCAGGATTTTATAGTTAAGTCACTGGTTCCTGACATTCATCCCAGAGTAAAAAAAAAAAAACTCAACTCAACGCCCACTTACCTGCTTATTTGCTTTTGACAGTATCACATGGTCTTCATCTGCAGATGTAGTGGCTTAGTTGTCAACTGCATTTCCTTGGAAACGTGACTCTGCAGCTCAGAGACCAGATGGAGGGTTTAGTGTCAGACATCTTTCAGTTCTCATCGTGTTTTACATGTCCACAGTGAAACTGCACTACAGTCTGAGATCGTCCTACTCTGTGTCTTGCTGCAGGATTATCTGTGTGTGTGTGTGTGTTAAGTCAGTAATTACCAGCATGCTGACCAGGCTGTGTGTGTGTAGATTATAAATGCAGCTCAGTCAGTCTGATCAGCTGAAACCTGCTGCTTCTGAACATCATCATCACTCCTGCAACAGGTCAGTCTCTGTTTTCTGTCTGACAAATATTAAAGGAGCAGTTCACATTTTTTCAAGTCTGTCTTGAAATAACACGCATGCTCATACAGTGGGTCAGAAGTGGTCTCAGACTTTTAGACCACCTGTAGGTACATTTAGCTCCGGATCATTCTGGTCTTGCTGCATTGATGAAGATTTTGTTTTCATAAAACTGTCCAGAGCTGGTCGGTTAATAAAACAGACTGATGTGAACTTGATAATGAGAAACCACATGAGTTCATGTCTGAATAATTGTGTGCTGCAGGTCCTGATAACCATGAGTCCTAAACACGTTGTCTTCAAGAAAGTTTCCCGTGACAAGTCGGTGAGTCCAGCAGAAACAGTCTGTGTGGTGGGGTGTGGTGTTGGACTGGGAGTCCACCTTCTTGTTCCACATTGTTACTGAGTGATGCTGAATCTTTTTATCAACCCAACAACATGTTGTATTTACTGGTTTAAACTCCCATATTCTCCAGATCACAGCAGCTGGATTATTTTCTTGATAAACTTTGCAAAACAGTTGAACTACTCAAGTCCTTTATTTTATCTTTATTTATTTTTCACTGATGTCATTTTATGTCTTTTGCGAACATACAGTGTGTGTTGTTATGTGTACGTGGACTACACATTACGCATGTTTTAAGGATCTGGTAACAGCCAAACAAAAAACTGGGAAAGGTCTTCAGGTAGTGACAATGTTGAAAACTGAGCAGAAGATTCTGGTTCAGGTCCCAGACCAGCAGAATAAAACAGATGTTTCTACCACTGAAGTACCTTTGAGCCAGGCACCACACCTTCTCTGACCCCCTCCTCCCTCCCCAGGTGGCCGTCTACATGGCCAAGAGAGACTTTGTGGATCACTGTGACTTTGTGGATCCAGTTGGTGAGTTCTGACAGAAACAAACTGAACCTGAAAATCCTCCTGAAGATGGAGATCACTTTTACTCTGGCTGTGGGAGGGATCTGCGATTAGTTCATTAGCCGACAGCACAACACGTCAGTCAGTCAGACCTGGAGCTGCTGGATGGTGTTTTTTTCTCTTTTTAATGAAGATAGGCAAATAGTTTTCCCCTGCTTCCAGCCTTTATGCTAAGCTAGGGTAACAGTTTCCCCCTCCTTCCAGCCTTTATGCTAAGCTAGGGTAACAGTTACCCTGTCAGTTTTTGTTTCTGATAATGTGGTTAATTTAGTTTATAAAGTGAAACCAGAGCCCTAAATTCAAATCAACAAATGTGGCTTTTGTAAGGTGGCCCTGAGAGCTCAATGCACTGCAACAAAACACATGAAAATAGACAAAACACAAACAACTTCAGAAAACAGATTCATCACCTTGACAACACATGTGCTGCGAATACTCACAACACATGCAAATACACAAACGCATTGCAAGTAGCACAGATGACAACAGAAGTATTTCCAGGGGATGCTAAAAAGTGATTTACCTGATTGGAACGCATTTGTTCAATTCTTTGTGACTTTTACAGTTAAAAGAATTGAACAAGTGTGTTTTCATCTGTGCTACTTGCAGCACATTTCTGTTTTTGCGTGTGTTTTCCTTAGTTGCAGAGCATTAAGTGGTTTCTTTAAATGTGATGGTGTGAATCTTGGGAACAGTAGATGCGGCTCCAGCTGAAGACAGATGTTGTGATCAGGCCTCTACAGTGTCTCTTTATTTTTCTTCAGATGGAGTGATCATGATTGACCCGGTGCAGCTCAAAGGAAAGAAAGGTCAGTGCGTTTTGACCTTTGACCTGCCTTTATTCTCTGCTGAAGCATCCTGATCTGTTGTGTAGCTTGAAGCACTTTTACCTTTACTCATCTGTCAGACACTTCTATCCAAATAGACTTACAGTGAGCGACATCACTGAAGCTTCAGTGCAGTAGGAGACCTTGGTCTAAGGACTAAGTACTACATGTGTTAAATAAATGAAGGAGCTCAGGTAAAGAAGTGCAGGTAAAGAGCTAGTTATACGTGTTAGGGTGTTAGGGTGTTAGGAGAGGAGGTGACCTCCTACAACAACATGATGAAGATCTCAAAGTGACCTTGTCTATAAAAACTGAAAAGAGGAGTCATGTCTAGTCTAGGTTTTTAGGTCAATTACATTCTCATAGATAATTTTTTTACAAACTGACCCTTCAATCTGCACGGTTAATGTTGCTGTTCTGTCAGCAGATTAATTACTTTGTCAATACTCACAACTGGGGTTCGTCTGTCATTGTGTGCAGATGATGCACAACTTCATTTTTCAGTAAAGTCACCAGACTCAAGTTGATCCCCTGGTTTAACCCTCCAGCTTATCTTAAATAACTCTTTCACTGTGGTCATCATCGTGTCTTTGTCCTGTGACGTCCAGGCTCAGCTCTGACTCCTACTCCTCATGGTCAGATTTTTTAAAAAATAACTACATCATGGTTTTAGATCCTCACTCTAATTATTAAATTACTGTGAGCTCAACAAAACACAGACTCTCATACTATTACAGAGTTTAGGTTCAACTGGTTTCTGCAGATTCAGGATCCTCTACTGTCATCAGACAACCTGAACTTTCAGATGATAAAAATGATTTGTGGACATTTAGATTGTGAATTGTGAAAGCAGAAAGAATGACCCGTGTTCATCCACAGTTACATCAGCTGTGTGTGGGGAGTTGATGAGGAGGCTGAACCATCCTCACTTTAACACAGTAAACAAACAGAAACATCAGATCTCCATCATGTTCTCCACATGGTTTCATCACCTGGGCTTTGACTCTATTAATGAGCTTATCTTCTTCTTCTGTGGTCTAATGGCAGCGACTGGAGAATCAGCTCCACCAGCTGCTCATCTCCATCAAGCAGTTGACTCATGTTCACAGAAGAGCTGGAATGATTAGTTTATCAGACATTGGAAGGAGTTTCTCTTTGTTCTTGTCTTTAAACACAAACACTCATGAAAGTGAATAAACTACTAAAACAAAAAGATTGTTTTATCAACCGGGTCTTTCAAGAGAAAAGTAGTGTGTGGAGAGGGTTGTCACAGTAGGGATAAACAGAGTCTGAGATTTGTGGTGGTGCACACCTTAATAAGACCCCTTTATGTGTCTGTAGTGTACGTGATACTGTCGTGCACGTTTCGGTACGGCCGTCAGGACATGGATGTGATGGGGGTGGCCTTCAGGAGGGACCTGTTCCTGGTGACCCGGCAGGTTTACCCCGAGCTGCAGGACAAGGAGAAACTGACTCACACCAAGATCCAGCAGAAACTGCTGCGGAAGCTGGGAGACAACGCCTTCCCCTTCTTCTTTGAGGTGAGGAACTCAACATCAGGACACGCATCTGTCATGGCAGCCCAGACATTCAGCTCCTTCTGAGAGGGGCTGCAGCGAGTCTAGTTGGTATCCTGTCCAGATGCTGGACCACCTTAAGTGATTCCCTTCAACATAAGGAGCAGTTGTTCTCATCTGGGCTCCTGACCTGGTCTGTGAGACACTCTGCCAAGGAAACTCCTGCCAAAGCTCAAAACCACTTATCCATACAACCTCCATAAGTTCACCTTCAGACTCAGCTCCATCCTCAGTCGACCTCATGCAAGCAGGGCGCGGTCAGCAAAATGCTCCAACACTATCAATGAGTATTTTAATAGATGTTTATGTTTGTGTCTCAGTTTCCAGACAACCTGCCGTGTTCTGTGGCTCTGCAGCCTGGACCATCTGATGTAGGGAAGGTAACTTGTCTTCATATTCAGTCTGTTTAAAGCATCAGCTGTTTCAAATCAAAGCTTTATCACTTCCAGTGAGAGACTGAGGTACTGCTGCAGTTTTAGACCCAACATTTTCTGACAACGTCATTACATCTTCTTTCAAGGTGCTCATGTTCTCCTTTACCTCGTGGCTCCAGTTAAAAGAGCTTTGAGTGAAGAACCTTTGTCATTGCCTCAGCATAGTTAAATATGAGCATCATTAGTCATCTTGAGCTAATCATATAATCAAGAAACAATCTCAATGGACAGACAGACATCAGGTCTTTTCACAGACAGTTCAACCTTGCTCAGTAAAACCTTGAACAACCTCAGATCCAGAACCTGGATACTGATGTGAAAGATCTGCTCTGGGTCCTCCAGATAACTGGGGTGTTTCATGTCTGTTTGTGACAGAAATGTGCGGTGGAATTTGAGGTGAAAGCTTTCTGTGGTGAAAACCAGGATGAGAAGATTGACAAAGAGTGAGTCAAGAGAAGAGTCAAGCATTATTAAATGAATCCAAGTCAAAAGTGTAAAGGAGTCAGTTTGTGTTGATTCATGAATGTTATCTTCTCTGCAGGAGCTCAGTTCGTCTCAGCATCCGTAAGATCCAGTTCAGTCCAGAGAACAGTAAACTGGTTCCAGTTGCAGATACCACCTTTGAGTTCCTGATGTCTGAGAAACCTCTGCACATCAAGCTGAGTCTGTCCAAAGAGGTGAGACTGTCCTCAGATCAGTCAGTTTATCAGTAAGATAAGTTCCATCACATGGCTGCTGTTACCAGTCTGCAGACCACAAAAGCAGCTCCGCTGACTCAGACTGGTTACCCTGAATCCTTCACAGCAGCTTCATGGTGGCTGGATCAGAGACCCCTGTGGTCTAAGACCCAGATCATCCACAGGTGGAGTCAGTTAAACCGTCAGTCTCTAAACCTGCTGAACTCAGGCTGAAATACCTGTCTGTCTATATCTTGTGTGTACCTGTCTGTACCTGTGTGTACATGTATGTACCCGTCTTTACTTGTCTGTACGTGTCTTTATCTCTGTGTACCTGTGTGTACCGGCCTGTACTTCTTGTTACCTGTCTGCCTGTCTCACCTGTGTCACCTGTCTGCAGACGTTTTACCACGGTGAGCCGATAAAAGCGAACGTTGAGATTACCAACTCATCCAGCAGGAACATCAAAGACATCAGTGTGTCAGGTAAGGTCATACGTGTTGTTTTCTGAGACGTGTGTTCAGTGGTGTCACATGAGTGCTCATACAGGTTACACCTGAGAATATTATGTTACCTTTGATGAGCATGTTTTCTGTGTGTTTAGTGGAGCAGGTGACCAACATTGTTCTTTACTCAAATGACAAATACGTGAAGTCAGTGGCCAAAGAGGAGACAGAGTGAGTCTGACACTTATTTTTGAAATTTTAGCAGTAAACACATCATAGCCTATCGACCATAGCGCACGCATGCACGCACACACACACACACACACACACACACTGTCTGTTTGTGTTTATTCTGAAAAAAGAATTTAAAAGAAAACAGGAAACTTGACAGGAAATGTAACTTAAGGACACTGAGCAGAAGTGAAGTGTGTTAGTGAAAATGTAAAGTGTGTGTGTGTGTGTGTGTGTGTGTGTGTGTGTGTGTGTGTGTGTGTGTCTGCAGTGACTCAGTTCCCTCTGGTACCACTCTGAAGAAGGACTATATCCTACACCCTCTGCTGGCCCATAACAAAGACAGGAGAGGACTCGCTCTGGACGGACGACTCAAACATGAGGACACAAACCTGGCTTCATCCAGCATGTGAGACACACACACACACGCACACAGACATACACTGAGACAAACAGAGACACACTGATCTGATGACGATTACATTAATCTGACAGAAATTTCTCTGTCTCGTTGTCTCTCTGTCTTTCTCTTTGTCTCTCTGTCTCTGTCTCAGTGTGAAGCAGGAGGTCCTGAAGGAGGTCCAGGGGATACTAGTCTCCTATAAGGTGGTGGTTCGGATGATGGCGACTGGGTGAGTCCGTAGCAGTCGGTCAGTGTAAACACAGTCAATGATGTGACGTTCCCTCAGCTGCTTTGGTTGTATGTTAATGGTCTCAGTGAGAGGTCAGAGGTCACAGGTTCAGCTGCTGTTCTTCAGAAGAGTCTCAGTGACAGGAATCTGTAGGTTCACAGCAAACATGAGTGCTGTAATAATAATAATAATAATAATGATAATATTTTTTATTAATAGGTGCCTTTCAAGGCACTCAGGGACATCTTACAATACACAGTAAAAGGATAAAGGTGAGATGGGATTTGAAAACAGGAAGAGAATCAATTTTTACGGGTGTCTTGTGGAAGAGAGTTCCAGAGTCGAGGGGCAACATGGCTGAAGGCTCTAAACCACATGGTGGTGAGACGGGCAGGAGGTACAGAGAGATACTGGAGGAGGAAGAACAAAGAGTACAGGCAGGTGTGCAGCTGTGGAGTAGATCAGAGTGATACGGCAGTGCTACATTGTGAAGTGACTAAAAGTGAGAAGCAGAATCTTGAAGTCAATATGGTGTTTAACAGGAAGCCAGTGCAGTTGCTGGAGAACAGGAGTAATATGTTCTATTGAAGGGTTTCTGGTAATGATTCGAGCTGCTGCATTCTGAACCTGTTGGAGTTTATGGAGGAGTTTGAGTTTGTGGGATCTCTTGCTCCTAAGACCAGAAAGGATAGAGTTACAGTAATCAATGTGAGATGTGACTAAGAAATGTACAAGAATAGCAGTGCTGTGGGCAGCACAGGGCGTCTGTCCATGTTGCCCGTATCTAAATCTGCCTATGAATAGAAGGGGGCCTAAGACAGAGCCTTGGGGAACACTGGTGGAACCAAATTCTTTGAATTTAAACCAGGTATGAGGGGTGCTAGTGATGCCAATGGATGATAACCTGTCTAGAAGAATATTATGAGAATGATATCAAAGGCTGAGCTCAGATCAAGCAGCACAAGTATGGTTAACAGCCCAGAATCAGCTGCTTTCAGCAGGTCATTGGTGATTTTGACCAAGGCTGTCTCTGTGCTATGAAGTGGGCGAAATCCAGACTGAAATTGTTCGAACAGATGATTATTGGTATACATTTACATCTTTACCTCACTATGCCATCACTGTGAGTTCACTCAGTAGATGTCTGTTCAGCAATACAACTGTAGAAACATTTTAATCAAATGAAATCATTTCAAACAAACTGTTCAAAGAGTCTGAAACTTTCTTTTCTTTTCTTTTCTTTTCTCTGTATCTGGTGACAACAGGACCATTGGATCCAGGTACATCTGCCTGTTGCTCCTGTCTATCTCTCTGTCTGTCTGTCTGTCTGTCTGTCTCTCTGTCTGTCTATCTATCTATTTCCACGTGGAAATGTCTCAATCATGTGTGTGTGTGTGTGTGTGTGTGTGTGTCTTACAGTGAGGTGTCTCTGGAGGTTCCTTTCAGACTGATGCATCCTAAACCTGAACCAGGTACACCTCACCCTTATTAAGGCTGTTTTCAGGTCCTGTGAGAGTTTTTACAATCAGCAGTTTTCAACTTCATCACACATCAACCACCAAGTCAGGTGGACAGTCGTGACATCATTCATCGTCCTCCTCTCCTTTCACTTCAAAATGTCCTATCAGAAGCTGACCTGGGTCTGCTTTTACAGCTAAACAGGAATATTCTAATTTGCTGTCACTGCTAATGGGTTCAAGGACAGTTTGCCATCAAAGAACTTGTTGTCTTCTGATGCTGGAGAGTCTTTGAATGCATTACAAACATCAGTAAGATGAGACCATAAACATTCACAGGGTACAAGTGTGTGTGTGTGTGTGTGTGTGTGTGTGTGTGTGTGTGTGTGTGTGTGTGTGTGTGTGTGTGTGTGTAGATAATCTGTATTGATCAGCAGTTATGTGGATGTTAATCTTGAGGATTTGACGCAACTCTTTGTTTAGATGATAAACTGCTGTCAGCTATACACAACAAGTTGCTTAACACACACACACACACACACACACACACATACGCACAGACACACGCTCTTGCCTTAAGTGAGACACCAGTGTGTGTGTGTGGAGACACACTCATCACTCTCCAGATATGAAAAGATCACTGAATAGTATTTCCAGGCTGAGACATCAGTCAGATTTTATTAATAGAAAATCTGTAATTGATCCGGATCAATAACCTGTTTTCTATCTCTCCATCACTTTTGCTCACATCCTGTGTGAACTGTGTCTTCAGCCAAGGAGGGGTAAGGTCACTTTTACTTTACTGGCAGTGTTTGACTCCAGACTAGATTCCTGTTTGTCTGTGGGTCAGATTTTCAGATCAGCAGGGGGCAGTATAATTCTTTATTCAGTCATTATCACCTGACAACAGGCTTTAACAAATAACAAGTCATTTGTCACGTGGAAAAAATCAAGATAATCAACCATGATCCTAACAAACACTGAACCTACTTTACTGTTTGTTAGGGTCATGGTTTAAGGTTTTACACCTGCTACTTACAATTTACAACTGGAGGTCTGACTGTGAAGACACTGTTTAATACATCAGTCGATTGTTCGTAACTGTATGAAAAGAAAATACTCAGCTACAGTACAAGTAACTCAAACACACTGTCTGTCCTCAGTACAGTACAGTAACTGGGTAAATGTACTCTGCTACTTAGCAGCATTTTGTTTTAACATTGAACTGAAATGCGTCACTGAGCATAAAAGCGTGTGTGTGTGTGTGTGTGTGTGTGTGTGTGTGTGTGTGTGTGAAGCTGTGTTAGAAAACTCTAAGTAAAGTCTTGTGTTAGAGCTTTAGCCTGTCTGTTGATAAGAGTGATTAATGAGCTGTCTGTCTCTTTGTCTCGCTCTCTGTCTGTCTCTCTGCCTATGTGTCTCTCTGCCTGTATGTCTCTCTGTTTGTTTGTCTCTCTCTGGCTGTCTGTCTCTCTGGCTGTGTGTCTCTCTGCCTGTCTGTCTGTCTCTCTCTCTCTCTGTCTGTTTGGCTGTGTGTCTCTCTGCCTGTCTGTCTGTCTCTCTCTCTCTGTCTGTTTGTCTGTGTGTCTCTCTGCCTGTCTGTCTCTCTGTGCCACAGTGAATCAGACGACATGGTCTTTGAGGAGTTTAAACGAGCCTACCTGAAGGGTGTGGTCTACGGAGACGACGATGAATCTCCCACCGAGGCCTGAAACCTCCACCGCTCAGACCCTGTCCCTGCTGTCCATCACTGTCCAGAGCTGAAGACAAACACAGTTTAGTCCAAAGACTTGATGGTTTGTAATGTTAGCAAGGTTTCCTCTAGCACTCCCCTCAGTTAAATCGTCAGGATGATGTTTGATATGTCGTAGTGTGACTGTAGTGCAGTCTGCCTGTAGGGGGCTCTGTGGTGCTGTGGGACGCACCAGTCATGTTTTACAGACAACATCGGAGAGAGACACACAGTGTCGTATCCTGACAAGCTGCTGCTGTGTTTCTGTTCAGAACCACAGGGTCTCTGATGTTCAGCCTCCATCCAGAACAGAAACCCTAGTCCTGGTCCTGGTCCTGTCCTGGTCTGTCACTCATATTCACTGACTGTTAAAGCAACATGTCACTGACCAAACTGTGTCTGACCTGAGGCTCTAGCTCCATCACAGCATGTTGATACGAAGCAAACAGAGCAGGGAGTCTCTGATCAACAGAAACGATTCGGATGTCTAGTTCCTTTACTGTTAATGAGCCCTGTGGTGAAGTAACTGCTGCAGTAGAACAACAGTGTAAATGATCCTGTTTTTTCGAGTCAATCTGTTGACCTCATTCTGACCTTAAAACAGAGTAGTGGGTAGAACAGATGTGAAGGACTCTGTAGTGAAACCCATTTTTACTTGCTTTACAACAGTATTTGATCGTGTCTCCATTTATTACAGGTCAGAGGTCACAGGTCAACAGAAGAAGTTTGTCTAGTTTAAACTGATAGTAATCAGCTTCCTGTCTGAGAATAAAACAAACTCTGTTGTAGAGAAATGTGTGTTTTCTTTGTTTCACAGATTGAAACAAACTAAATGTCATATTAATAACTATTAATTAAAATGTACTACCAGTTTCAACATCATGTGTTTTTCTGTGTATTATAAATGTGTTTGTTTTGGTAGAAGAATCCATGACTTCCTTTGATGTCAGTGTAAATCTGAAAAAGCCAGACTGTAAGTCTATGTCTGACTGAGTCTGACCGAGTCTGAGTGTAAAGCACGGTTGCATCAAGTACTGATGGGTTTGTGTAATATTTGATTCTTCCTTGGTCAGAATGAAAACACTGGCAATCCAGGAGCTGAACTCAACAAACTGTCTTTCTTGTACCACCAGCAAGAATGAACAGCAGTCTTGTGTGTGTGTATGTGTGTAATTTCTGGAATAATGAAATAAGACAGTAGTGGAATGTACAAATATGTATAAAACAAAATTATAGGGATAAAGAAGATATTAAATATCCTTATACTAGCTAGCTCACCGCTACATGCTTGCACCAATGTGAAAAGAGTGCAAAGAACCCATGCTTTATGACCCAACTGGAACATATAACGTCTGACTGGTAAGCACATTAAACACCAAGAGCTGTTTAACCATTTATTTATTCAGGAAATTCAGGAAATGATGGTAGGATGGATGGTGTATCTTCTGTACAGCAAACAAAAAGTAAATACCACAGAATAATAAAGAAAGGGTAACTAAACCACCTCACATTATTAATGCATCCAAAAGGAAAAAAAGGAATCTCTCCTTCATTCACCAGGGTTCTGCTTATCCTGTTAACAAAAAACATAATTAAATACAGGATACAACTTAACTACTTCTGCTTCTAGATTAAAACAATTTGACTCACTAACAACCAATTTTCAGGTGACATGAACTCAAAAATTAAGATTCATTGAAGGAACATAATTTGAAAGAAATAAACAATAAATAATATCAAACAAAGGACATTGGTCTCCAACAACTTACTGGTATGGCAGCATGGTCTGAAAGGGATTTTGGTTGTACACACCCAGTGCTTTTGGGAACTCCCCATTTTCTCCCCTGTCCTCTGACAGGTGAATCTCCACCCACCCAGTCTGACATGTTAGCTTGAGATTTTGAACAATCAACATTACATGTACAGCATTGTGCCTTGAATTGCAAGGTAATAATGCTCTACAGAGCAGACAACAGGTGTAGTAACCGCTAAATCAGGCAAACTATAAGTGAGGGCATCCTTTATCAGCCAGTTCCCACTCTAAGAATTATAACCATTAGCTTGAATTTAACCATATGAGGTAAAGACAATCAACAAGCAGGGAAACAGGACAAAGACAGGAAGTACATAATTGAGACACAAGGAAACCACTACAAAATAAATCAGGAAGTGGCAAAATCCAAACAAACTCAAGAATAAAACTGTACACCATGACAACCATGACACCCACACTCACTTCACTTCCCACAGTGTGCCACTATGGGGTACTAATATACTGATAACTAATAACTAATTACTAATAACTGAGGGAGTAACTAATCAAATATTGTCAGAACTGTTTGATGACTGTAGACATTATAATGATTACTATATTTCTATGTTCTTTCAAATCTAGATATGATAATAACTATGACCAGACATCTGCTGACACTGACATGTTAACGCAATGTGAGGATATGACAACCTCGGACCACTGGTCTACATAAGCACATCATGTCGTCAATGATGTAGACTGACAAAGGAACATAGTCTGCTCTACACTGTGTCGTGGTGTGGATGGTGAAAACAAAGCATGCTGTAGATCAGTGTGTGTCGTTATGTTATTGGTTCAGACCTGCTGTACCTTCAGTGATACACACACCAGAGGGTTTCTTTCACTGTTTTATTGAAGATTTATTCTTAGAGAGAACAAGTAATCATGAGTTAGAAAACCACCACAAACAAAAACAAAAACTTTCTGCTGACTAAAGTTTCTGAATTAAATGGCATTTGTATTGTTGGAGGTGTTACAGTGCCAGATCCTACAGTCTGTCTCCAGTCAATCAGAGGCTCCACTGTTCAGAGCAGGAGCTGCTGTTCATAAAGTCACTGCTCCTGTGTAAACGAACAAGCTCTTCACCATGAGAGGAGAAACCTACGGAGTCTCCAAAGGTCAAAAAGATGAGGTTCTGATCAACTTTCTACGAAGCTCCATCAAAATCTTTGGACGCCCTGAATTGAGTTTTGTCCTTGGATGCCAGGTGAGTAGACGGACACCAAGACATCAGATGTGCAGTAGCTGTTTAAGGCTGGATCCTCTCTATGAAACATCTGTGACTGACTCATTAGGGCGTGATGGACTCTGCAGTCTCTTTGTTTCATTGTTTGAGAACAGAGATACCTCAGGGAAACCCCACCCAGCAGAGGCCAGGTGGATCTAAAGCGAGGTGGTATATCACTTTACACTGGCACTGTAGGATCACTGTCAGGGGATCCTCAGAAGACTTGCTGCCTGTAAAGCTCCAACACAGGCTGGGAATCCCAGCAGTTTACATATAAAGACAGAGACAAGATGGGAGATAAAGGATTCACACAAAACATCACAGGGTGTTATAACCGCAGAGGTATGGAGGTTCTCCTGATCAACAACTCAGTCTCTGTTAGACTTAACATGAACCAGGCTCTGTAATGACTCCAATGTAACACAAAGACAATACAAAGGAACAGAGTCTTAAAGGACCAAATAAAAAACAAAAAAGCCACAATGAAACAAACAGCGAGAAGTTTAAACATGAACCTACTGTCAAAAATAAAATAAGATACAGATTCAAAAATCACAACACAAATGATTCAGCTGAAGCTAATTTAATTGGCCATATTTTTCATCTCTCTTGAACAGGACGTTGACACTTGAATTTTGACTGAGGAGTTTAATCTTCGTCTGACTGAACCAGAGACCATGACTGATGATTCCAGTGCAGTGACTGGGTTATCAGAGTGGCTCGAATAAAATCATGAAGGGGACCAGAGTTTAAAGATGGGTTCATGTGACTGGAGGTGCTTTAACATCAACATCAACACACCTGCAAATCTGAACCGAGCAGAAACCACCATGTCTGAATGAGACCTGATCCTTGTGTCAGAATCAGAATCTCATGCCCACATCTGGAAACCTTTGCAATTCAGTAACTGTAGCAAAAAAGCTGCTGTGTGTCTCCTGGAATCTGAGGCATCCCCGTCTGCAGCATCACTTCTTCTTACACCTCTCACAGAAACATAACAGTATCTACAGTCTACATCTACAGTCTACATCTACAGTCTACATCTACAGTCAGTAGCACTGACTGTAGATGTAGTTTAATAGCATGTTGTACAAACTAGTCTATTTGAAGCAGACTGAGTCACCTGTGTTCAATCGTACCCTCATCATCACAACTTAAACCAACATAAGCATGGGTTCTCTGCCTCCGTGTAATGGGGTCTAAGTTCTGATGTCTGGGACATTGGCCCTGCTTTTTGTTGGTTGGTGGTTCATCTCAGTTTGGGTCAGTTCCATACTCAGGGATAAAGTCTGTTGGTTGGTTTTCATAGTTTCATAGTTCACTCATCTGATGGTGGCCTGTGATGATTTACTTGTCAGTCTGTTGTGTGATTGCTGTGATGTGTGAAGAGCACATAATGGTGTTTGAAGATCTTTTTTTTTGCAGCTTCTAGGTGACCATGGGTCATTTATTGATCATTAGTTGGATCCTCCACCAGCAGGTGAGGTGGACTCAGGTATGTCTCCCCAAGTGTACCCGCCCTCAGGTAGCGTCATTTGGGGCATGGAGGCTCTAACTAAGGCCATATCACATGTATCTGGGTGGAGCAAGAAGCCAGAGAAGGTGCTGCTGGCCTCAGTACCGGCGTACATGCCATTAGTGACTGAATCCTTCACCTGAATCCACACCCTGTCCCCTCGGGCCAGGTAAAGGATGACTGAATGCGAGGTGGTCCCTAACACTTTGGGGTCTGTGGTTTTAACAACTGGCACGAAATTATGAAAGAGGCCAACTTTGAGGACCCGTTCATGGACGGTGAGGTGGTAGCTGAAGACGTAGGTGCCGTTGATTGGGGCAGTGTAGAGACCAGTGGTGGGGTCGTAACTCCCCTGGACATTGTAGAGAACATAGGAAAAGACCACGGGGGTGTTGGGTGGGGGGTAACTGGCTGCCAGCCCTGCAGAAAATGCTGACTGGATACTGGGCATGCAGGGACCAGGAGGACCCATTATCCCAATTGGCCCGGGGTCTCCCATATCCCCCTGTAGGCCCCTTTGCCCTGCAGGCCCTGTCTTTCCCTGGTCCCCCTTGTCCCCCTTGTCTCCTTTCTGCCCTGAACTCCCATCTACTCCATCTGTACAGTTACACTCCCCCTGGGGCCCTGGTTCCCCCTTCTCACCTACAGATCCAGGGGTACCAGGGTGACCCAGATCACCCATATCACCCTTAGTGCCTTTCGGCCCTGACATCCCTGAAGTACCAGGCAGACCTCTGAGTCCTGCAGGGCCAGGTAGACCTGGGATTCCTGGTGGGCCCTGGCTGGACTCACAGGCTTCTGGACAGACTCCGTCATCTCCTTTAGGACCCTGAGACCCTGGGCGACCCTCCATACCTTGATCACCTTTGTCACCTGCAGGTCAAGAAAAACCAGGTCAGGAACTGGACCTGAAAATGAGAAACCAGTAACATGAAGGTACTCGCTTCACCTTTGAACCCTTGGCCTCCTTTGGGTCCCACCAGTCCCGGGGGTCCTCGCTGTCCCTTCTCACCCTCATCTCCTTTCTGTCCTGAGGGTCAAACACACAGAAAAAGTCAAAGTGATATTTGCAGTAGAAACAGAATATGTAGAATGAGGAACCAGGAAGCCATTTACCTTTTATCCCTGGTCTGCCCACATAACCTGGAGGGCCTCTGAACCCTGTCAACCCCCTTCTTCCAGGACTACCAGGACTACCTGATGGGAAAGAGGGACAGAGATTAACTCTGAAATTTTTGTAAGCACAGAGGGTTCATGTCATGTTCCCGTAAATGATTATTCATTTATCAAGATCCTGATCCAGAACCATCACACTAGATAGCAGTCCTGGATCAGGATCAAGTGTAAAGTAATAAACAACACAAATCACTCTGACTGCCAGAGTGTTAAGCACCAAAAAGCTCAGGGCTGCCACCAATGGACTTAAGGTATATTACACTTATTTTATACTTCATATCCTGGTCCGGGATCAGAACCACCTCCTGGGACCTAAATCACTGATGGTCAGAATCTGCATCAAAGAATCAGAGACCTCCAGTCAGAGGTGAGAAGCAGATCCTGTTAACAGGGCTTGTTGTTCTATAGCTGCTTTTATCCAAAGTGCCAGTGGGAGCGGGACCATCAAAGGCCTGACCATTGGGAGCAGCAGCAGCCTTGTTGGGGGATTCAGTGTGTTGCTTAAGGACCGTCCTCATCATGAGATCATGAGGAGCTGGGGAAGGACCCACCCCCTGCTGAGCCCCTGGATTAATATGAATTAAATCTCTAACACAGCAAAATGTATCGGCAGAGTTGTGTATTATTTTGTCTTTACCTGGCAGTCCCCGGTCTCCGCGGTCTCCTTTGGGCCCCTGGGTGCTCTGGCAGCGTGTGCAGAGGCAGAACCAGGGGATCTGGTCTGAGGGGACGGGCACCGGGCCCTGCAGCAGCATCTGACAGTAGGCTTCCATGGCCCCGGCTGGCGGCTCCGTTATATTGTCTCCCTGAGCATGAAAACTGCGTCCGGGGCCATCCATGGGTGGGTAGGAGACCGTAGGAGGAGGATGGACGGGGGGCTCCCAGCTGTCCAGGGAGATGGGCTCAGGCATCGCCACGACAATGGGGAGGGACACCACCATCAACAGGAAGTGAAGAGGAAAGGTCGGCATGGTCAGTCTGCAGAGATGTTAAAGGACCATTAACTCACCCTACTTTCCTTCCATAACCTCAGTTCAGTGAATGTCAGCTGATTTAGAAAAATTTTCATCATCATCATTGTGTGATGAACATAGACCTAGTCCTGATTAAAAACCAAACCGCTCAGAGACTGGATCATGTTCTAAACCAGGTCTGAATGTTCTCACACCAAACATTTACTCTATTTACTGATGTATATTTTAAACACACCACACTGTCTATGTGTCCTAGCACTGCTGCAAAAGCAAATGATTTTATTCAGAAATATGTAATCTATGAAATATATTTAAGATGCAATTTATCATTGAAGTTGACCAGAACATATTGATTTAACAACAGTTTAACAGTCTAACAGTTTTATTCCATTTACTGCTGTTCTTAAAGGGACAGTGCTTCTTTTTTAAAGGATAAGTACAACTAATTTATTTTACTTGTTAACATTTCCACAAAGAAATAAAAAGACCTTAGCTCTGATCATTTCAGCATTTAAGTTATAATCAATCAATAAGTTATAATCAATCAATATATTAAAATATGTAAAGTGATTCAACCTGTTGGAAACTCCACTAAGGAAATGTTCATGTCACAGGTTGATGTCTAAACAATTAAAAATATTCACATATTTCCTGACGGATGAGAGATGACGCTAAAGCTTCAGTATTCTTATGCTCATCATTTATTATCATGATTAATTTGATCAAATGACAATGATGAATTCAAACAATCAGAGAATATTTTATATTTATAAGAGATTTTCTGTTTTTACACTTTTTCCACGAATATAATGAACATATTGATATTATCAACATTACACTATTATTACTGCTCGTGACACACATTCTGATAATAAACATAGTAAATTTTCCATTCGCTCATCTTAATGTAATTTATTTAAGTCTCAGATTTTCACCCATTTTTCCTGTTTATTAAAAAGAATTTTTCCTTTTTTCCAACGTTAAATATTTTTTTAAAGATGTCTCAGTTACTCACCAAGCGGTGGATCCTTCAATCTGTCTTTCGTCTCTGCTCTCACCTGCAGCTGATCTCACCTGTCACACTCACAGCTGCTAATAAAACACACAAACTCCACCCACCTCAACACCTGTTGACCCACCCACACATGTAGGTTTGTGTGTGTCTTTGTTGAGTAAAAAGTAGGCCTGTTTTGTCTTTTGTCTTTACTGCATACTGTGACCTCATTACAATAGTACACACAGGTGTCACATCACAGTGTACACATACATGCACACATACATACACACACACACCGACACATACCATTCTCATACTCTCATATCATGTGTGACACTGACGATCATCATCATCATCATCATCATCATAATCATCATCATTGCCATTACCATCACCATCATCATCATCATCATCATCACTGTTTGACAGACAGAGCTTTTCACTTCCCACATTCACATTCACCCATTCAAGCACACATTTATACATTCACACATTCATGCATTTGCACTTTAATACATTCACACATTCATACATTAACACATGTATGAGCATTCACACATTCATACATTTATACATTCACACATTCACATTTCATACTGCATGTTTTTATCACTCACACACCAATGATCCCTTAAGTCACATCCGAAGCATTTGGGGGCACATGTGGTTTACAAACATTTCACATGTAGTTTTTGGACATTTCACATGTGGTTGTTGGACGTGTCCCATGTGAGTTTTGGACATGTCACATTTGGTTTTCGGACATTTCAGATGTGGTTTTTGGACTTTTCAAATGTGAAGCATTCTGGGCACATGTTGTTTTTTGGACTTTTCACATTTGAAGCATTCGGTGCACATGTGGTTTTCAGACGTTTTACATGTGGTTTTGGATATTTCACGTGGTTTTAAACATTTCACATGTGGTTTTCAGACATTTCACATGTGAATCATTTGGGGCACATGTGGTTTTCAAACATTTCACATGTGCTTTTTAGATGTTTCACATGTGAACCATTCGGGGCACATATGGTTTTAAGACATTTTACATTTGTGTTTAAGACGTTTCTCATGTGAAGCAGTTGGGGCACATCATGGTTCAGTGTCCTGCCCAGGGACAACATGTGGACTGGAGGAGCTGGTATTCGAACCACTGAACCTCTGATCAGTGGACGACCTGCTCTACCCCCTGAACCTAAGGCTGGGGGGTCGTGGTTTATTCCTTTAATCACTGGTGAACCATCTCAACACACCTGTCTGTCCCCTGTTCAGTGGATGAGGTGAAGGACATAGAGAGACGAAGATAACGACAGCTCTCTCACTGTTTTATTTCTGAACAGCAGTGATTCACACTCTCTCTCACACACACACACACACACACACACACACACACACACACACACACACACACACACACACACACACACACACACACACACACACACACACACGCGCTATAATGTTCCTGTGAGTCCTCTGCAAGTCTTGAACAGGATCCTGCTGGTCTTTGTTGTCTGTGCAGCGTCTCTTTCAGGTCTCAGATGACCTGGTTAGGATTTCAAGGACCTGATAATGCACAGCTGTAACTGTGATCCCTCTGTGTATGGATCCACTGGGCCGACTGCACAGAGACACAGTCTGTAGGTGTGACTTTATTTGTGCTGAGTCCTGGGAATTAGGATGGGAAGATTCATGTAGGTCACCTGTGGAATAGTGTGGTCATGTAAGTCACCTGAGCAAGGTGACTTACATGGTGACTGATCTGTGAGCTGCAGTTTAAACCAGACCTCACGTCTCACACTGTAAACTCCTCTTAATAATAAACGTATTAACTGCTTCATGTTGTGTCACATGTAACACATCACAAACTGTATGAACACATAACTGAGGTGGAGCCTGAACCAGGTGAGACAGATGTTTGTTACTGTCAAATTGTAACTGCAGCTCTGACCTTTGTTTTGATGTTGACCCACAGAGCAAAATAAAACTCATATTACCCTCAGAAATAACTCAGTACATTTACTAAAGTGTAGTTCAGTACTTCAGTACTGACAGAACAGAAGGATTAAGACTCACAATGCACGACTCAGAAACAAATGATCAGAGGCAGGGTCTTTAATTCAGGCAAGGTCGGTACACGGGTAATCAATCAGAACAGGCAGACAAATCCAATGGGCTAAGGCTAAACTCTTGGTCAAAAAAGTAAACTGGTCAAAAATACAGTAGGTAGAGCACGGAGAACAAGAGGTGAGGTTTGACACACGCCAAAATAAAACAAGTAGTGAAAAACCAAAATTGACAAGAAACAGAAAACATAACTTAAATCAGGATGTCAGGAATCATCGAGGAGGGTACGGTCCAGAATGTCCCTAGAGGGAACACAAGACTTCTCCTTTGGACCATACCCCTCCCAGTCCACCAGGTACCACCGACCGCAACCCTGGCGACGCGCTGCCAGCAGGCGCTTCAACGTAAAGTCAGGAGCCCCATCAATGTAGTGGTTCTGGAGGAGCGAAACAGGGTGCTTTCCTTGACCGGCTTGACACAGGAAATATGGAACATGGGGTGGATTCTCCAGGGCCTGGGAAGCTTAAGACCACCGTCGGGTTAACCTTGGAGAAGGGACCCACAAACCAAGGAGCCAGCTTACGAGACTCCACCCGAAGAGGAAGGTCTTGAGCTGACAGCAAAACCCTCTGTCCAGCACTGTAAGCAGTAGCTGGGGTCAGACAGCGGTCAGCTTGCCTCTTGTTACGTATGCTCAGCTGCTCAGAGCAGACCTTTTCTTCAATGTTCCACGTGACTGCCCCCACCAGTCAAGAAGGGGACAGAATGTGGAATTGAGAGTCACTAGAGGGGTCCACTTCGAACTGATGGGACATAGCATCTGGTTTAACATTCTTGGACCCAGCACGATATGACAGAGCAAAGTTAAACTGATTAAAAAAACAGAGCCCAGCTGGCTTGTTGGGAATTCAGTCTCTTGGCTGTCTGAATGTATTCCAGGTTCTTGTGGTCAGTCCATACCAGAAAAGGCTGCTCCGCCCCATCTAACCAGTGTCTCCACTCCAACGCCAAGTTGACTGATTACCCATGTTGTAATTCCGCTCCACCTGGGATATTTTCGAGGACAAAACAGGACACGGATGGAGCCTATACATTGGAAGAGGCAAGTGCATGTAACTTGCATGCAACTTGTACTTTATTGAACTACTTCCATTTCCTGTTGCTGTACTTTACATAGTATAGTATTGTACATGTTACAGTTCAGATTCAGATCTTAAACATTAAACATTGATGAGTTAAGAATTTATGACACATCATCCTCAACCTTTTGTCTTGTCAACCTGTGCAGGTGCAGCAGAGACGTTGCTGCTTTAAACTCCTGTTTAGTCCTGAGTTAATTAATTAGTCTGAGTCACTCCATCCTTTTTATCCAGCAGTTATTTTTTATTCTCATTTACATTTTTCTCAAAGCCAAGTGAATAGACTGGAGCTGACTTTAACAACTGCTCCATGAAAAACCAATGACGTGATGACATCAACACATGGTTCTATTCCAGGGACTCTGACTATAGACCAATTGTACAGAGAACAGAGTGGTGTATATATAACCCAGTGGACACGCTGAGGAGGTGTTTTGAATGTACAAACTGGGACGTATTTTAAATGAACAGGTTAGTACTGTCTCATCCTATGTATCCTATGTGTAGAAAACGTCATTCTCACCAAACAATAAACAGGGGTCACAGAACACCTGATTGTTCTTCACTGGATCCACGTTAGAGAAAAAACACCTGAGGAGGGAGATGAACATGTATCCTGCAGGTCACCTGGCAGGGGATCAGGACCATGGCAGCAGCTAACTTCCTGAGAGACCTCACATCTGTCTGTGCTGCTTGGAAGACTGAGGAAGACCTCCCTGATCTAAACCAGTGGTTCTGAAACATTTTTACTGGAGCTGGAACAAAGCAGTACCCTAAATGTAAGAGAACAAGTGCCT